AAAAAAAATGCTAACCATACAAATTCCATATATGGAAATTGTATGATTAGAATTTTTTTTAAAATTTTTTTTGTGAAAAAAAAGCTTTGAACAATCAATTCAACTGCTGGCAAAACATTTGAGCGTTTTTTGGGCTTCTACGACTGAAAACTTTGACTTTTTTATTTTTGTTTTCTGAAAAAAACACTAGTCATACAATTTCCATATATGGAAATTGTATGACTAGTATTTTTTCGATGGCGACGACAAAAGTTTTTCTAAGTATTTTTGAAATTGCCTCCAAAAATTTTTTGTGTTTTTTTCAACCGCAAATTGACTTTCGTATTCAAACAAACATTTTTTGAAAAAAAAATTTGCATGCAAAATTTAACTTTTTGTGTGTATAACGTAGTCTTGGATATATTAATATTGGATTTTTTTCCTTTTCTCTTCATAACTTTTTTCAAAAACGCTTTTCAAAAACGCTTTTTGTATGACAAGTTTTTGTATGCCTTGATCAATGTCTGGTAATTTAAAAATTCAAATTTCAGAAATAATCATCTTTGAAAATTATTGCCAAAAGTTAAAAGTTCATTACTTTCGTTATATTATTTGTCTGAGACAGAAGTAACACATTCAAGCTGTTTCCAATGCATTTTTATTGCGAGACGGCCAAACCTTTGGTTACTACATTTGAGTAACCAAGGTGTATGTCATTTGTGTTCGGTTACAAGCACAACCAAAAATTTTGAGAAATTAAATTGTAAAAAGTCAATAGTTTTGGTTTATGGAAAAATGCTAGTCATACAATTTCCATTTAAGAAAAAATACTAATCATAGACCTTTCATGCAATTTTCTGTACGTATGTAATTGTATGGAAAGTAAATGACTAGCATTTTTCCATATATGTATTGTATTTTTGGTCATCCCGGGATGTATAACTTGATACTTCATTCACTGCTGATTATCTAAACTTTTTCACTTTCCCCCAACATTTCAAAAATTCCATTATTAGATTGTCTAAAATTAGCGCGGCTAACTATGCGCCTGTTTCATAATGTACCCGGGCTGACCTCCATACACCGAAAATGCTGATCATACAATTCCATATATCAAGTGTGTGGGGAAATGCTTGTCAAATAACTTTCATACAATTTCGAAAAATGGAGGGAAACTGATTTTATTTACTTTTTGCGGCTGTTTGATTCTAAAAAAACAATCTGATGATGAAAATCAGATGTTTTCGTTTTTGAAAAAAAAAATGCTTGTCATAATTCCCATATATGGAAATTGTATGATTAACACTTTTTTGATGGGGACACAAAACTTTTTCAAGTAAGTTTGAATTTGCCCCAATTTTTTTTGTTTCTTTTTGAATCGCAAATCGATTTTTGTACGCAAGTACACATTTTACAAAAAAACTTTCGCATGCAAAATTTAATTTTTTGTGTGTATAACGTAGTCCTGGATATACTAATATTGGCTTTTTTTCCTTTTCTCATCATAACTTTTTTCAAAAACGCTTAAAACTTCTCTTTCTTTTGTATGATTTGTTTTTGTTTGTCTTGATCAATGCCTGGTAACTTAAAAATTCAAATTTTAAAAATAATCATCTTTGAAAATGTTTGCCAAAACTTAAAAGTTCGTTATTTTCGTTATAATATTTGTGTGAGACAGCATTGAAACATTTCAGGCTATTTCCAATGCATTTTTAATGCGAGACGGCCAAACCTTTGGTTACTACGTTTGAGTAACCAAGGTGTATGTCATTTGTGTTCGGTTACAAGCGCAACCAAAAAGTTTTGAGAAATTAAAATGTAAAAATTCAATATTTTGGTTTATGGAAAAATGCTAGTCATACAATTTCCATATATGAAAAAATACTAGTCATAGACCTTTCATGCAATTTTCTGTACGTATGGAATTGTATGGAAAGTAAATGACTAGCATTTTTCCATATATGGAAATTGTATGACTGGTGTTTTTGGTCATCCCGGGATGTATAACTTGATACTTCATTCACTGCTGATTACCTAAACTTTTCCACTTTCCCCCCACATTTCAAAATTCAATTTTTAGATTGTCTAAATTTAGCGCGGCTAACTATGCGCCTGTTTCATAATGTACCCGGGCTTACCTCCATACACCGAAAATGCTGATCATACAATTCCATACATCAAGTGTGTGGAGAAATGCTTGTCATATAACTTTCACACAATTTCGAAAAATGGAGGGAAACAGATTTTATTTACTTTCTGCGGCTGTTTGATTCTAATAAAACAATCTGATGATAAAAATCAGATGTTTTCGTTTTTTGAAAAAATGCTTATCA